GCCCGGGGGACCGGAGTGCTCACCCACATGAACCAGGGGTGGTTTCCTGCAGTTTTTACAATAAGCATTTATGATTTGTACAAAAACACCAAAGCTATTACTTTTTTTTTAATTTAAAAAACACAAAATTATCTTTAGCAGACACGAGGTTGTTCAGTACAACGTGTTCCTCCCAGGACAGCACAGATACCGTCTTCGAGACCAGCACCCGCCGGGAGATACGGCCCCACCCTTCCCCACCATCCCCGATGGTGCAGGGCTGCGAGGACTCCGCCTGAAGCAGGCCGACACCCCCACTCCTCCCTGTCACCCAGGGCCTTTCTAACCAGCTCTCTCCAAACCACTCTCCCCTAGATGGTGGGGAGGCAATGCTTCCATCACCCCAAAGGAAGCCAGGGAGGCCCACCTGCGAGTCTCTAGGCCCGTGTGCTCCTTCCTCCCGGGTCACGGGCTCCGGCTCCCCGAGACCCTCCTGCCAGTGCAGCATCCTGCCTCACAGCGACAGGAACCTTCTGCCACTCTCTCCAAATGTCAGCCGCCCCCGGTGGCCCGTTAGGCCTGTAACAGGGCGACCTTGAGCTCTGGGACAGAGTCATCGCTGAAGTGGTAGGGCTGGGTCCCCGGTTCCTGACTCAGGTATCTCTCTGTAGGAAACACAACATTTTTAAGCGCTAAGCAAGTGAAGTGAGGCTGGGTCAGCGCAGAGTGGGGCTAAAGGCTGCATTTCAGGGTCCCCAGGTGGCACCCATGCCCATCATCCCCGCATCCCTTCCTGTACCACAGTGACGCTTTCTGACTGGTGGCTGCGCCCGTCTGTCACCCACCCCCGTGGAGGGGCGTCCGGGCTGCTCCTTCCAGCAACAACACGGGCGAATCTCAGGCGCCACATTGAGCTGAAGGAGCCGGACCCAGAGAAAGCCCTACACCCCCGTTTCCATGACGCTCTAGCAGAGGCAGGGCCGACTGTGGTGAAGAAGCAGGGCAGTGGCTCCCCCGCGGGGGCCACAGGAGAGGGACGGGGGCCGTTCTGGATGGATGGAATTGCCTACATCCTGCTTGGTGGACGCCCTGCGGGATCCCAAACTCACGTTTAAGATCTGTGCATCTCACCAAACGCAAACTGGGCCTCAATATAAGACATACACCCCGAAAAATAAAACCCCGGCGCCAAAGGGCCTGGCCCCACAATCAGACTCCAGCGTCCAACCCTCCTGTCTCCCGGAGCTGTCCGCCATCCCGACCCCCCAGTGTGGGCGCGCAGGCTGTCCTGGCTCTTTCCAGCCACCGGCCTGCACCCACCTGCCTCCTCCAGGGTGGGGAAGTGCTGGAGGCCCTTCAGGTCAGCGGACACCAGGATGCGGAGAACAGGCCCCTGCGGGCAGACAAAGGGAAGGGTAGATGCCAGCGCCAGGCAGGGACGCCTCTGCTGTGGCCCATGTGGCAGGCACCCCCGGCTCCCCACAGGCCGAGCTATGGTCTCTAACACAGTCCCTGGGTAGACACCACTTTCCCCCAATCAGGGATATGGAGAGAAGACTACCCCGGGGGAATAGTGTTACGAGAAATGTTCTTAAATAAGTTTCTCTCCAAAGGACACAGAGACAAGTGCCCTGCAAACAGGACACAGAATGTAACTGTCACGAGAAAGCTCTACAGCCAGGCGCCGAGAGTTCGACGCGGGGCCTGCATCCTTGCTGTGTAACCTCAGGCAGGTTACTCGGCTTCTCTCGGCCTCAGCACCCTCCTCTCAACACAGGGATGGTGACAGGACTGGCCTCACGGGCTGGTTTGAGAGACAGGTGCCAGCTGTTTGGGGACGCCCACCTGCAGGCCGGCGAAGACGAGGGTGACGCCCTGCCGGCGGAAGTCGTCCAGGAGCTCCCTGAGCCCCAGCACCACGGTGTAGTCCACGCTGCAGACGCGGCTGCACTCCAGGATCGCACAGCACGGCGGGGACGCTGCGGGGACAGGCCCGTGCCGCTCAGCGAGGCCACAGGGCTCCGTCCCCAGCGGGAGGGCCAGGGGACCCGCTACGACAGCTGCAGCTTCCCTCAGAGGGAGAACCAGCCCCTCTTCCCCCAAAACACCGACTCTCAGGAGAAGCAGGTCCCCAGGTGCAGGTGCTGGGGAGACGCCACGCTGCTGGGGGCCGGGAATGCGAGGGGCGGGCCCGGCCAGGGACGCCGCTGAGACACCCCAGGCTCCTGCGCTCTAGTGGGCGAGCTCCTCCCCGACAGCCGAGGGCAGGGCCTCGGGGTCCTGGGAGCAGGCTGGGTACAGACGGGACAGGGGGGCGCTCGGGGGTGACTGCAGCCAACCCCGTCCTGGCCCACATACCTTCCAGGGCCCAGCTCACCAGCACCTCCCGGAGGGCCTCGGTGGCGGGAAAGTGCAGGCCGCTGACCGGCTGCACCACCAGCACCGGCTGCTCTGACACCTGGAGACAGGCGGGGGAGCCCGTGAGGCCTGGGGGCACGTCGGAGGGGGCAGCTGTGCCAGGCTGGGGAAATGGGCTGCAGAGCCAGCAGGAGCCCTTTCCCCACCCACCGCCCCCCACGCAGGGGACAGCTCGGCAGGTGAGCCCAGCCCACTAGCTGACAGGTCACTTGGCAGCACCTCGGGCCACAACCACACCTAGACCTTGAAACGCAGAGCCAAGGGGTCCTGCCCAGGGCTGGCTTCCCCCTCGGGCCCGAGGCAGCAGGTCCCCCGCGGGGAGGCCAGGGAGCTGGTACCTGGATCTCGGGTCTGGCCACGGAGTACAGGAGGATCAGCAGGGACACCAGGGTCCCAGCCAAGATGCCGTACTGCACCTCCCAGAAGCAGAACAGGAAGGTCACACTCAGAGGCAGCAGGTCCAGCCCTGGGGAGAGGGGGCGGCTGAGGGGGGCAGCACCCTGAGAGGTGGGGTGCGGCTGAGGGGCAGCTGAGACCTGCCTGCAGGGCCCAAGGCCCCGCTCTTTGGGAGGCGGAGGAAGGGACCTGGAGACAAGGACAGGCCTGGGGAGGGGCCAGGAGACCACATGAGCCCCCCCCAGGCCACATGGGACGCCTCAGCCGAGGCTCGTGGCTTCTTGGAGCTGCAGGTGGCCTGGGGCACAGCGGGCAGGGTGGGGTCAGTCCCAGGCTCAACTCCACACAGGCCCCCACCCTGCCTGGGCCTCAGGGCTGCTCAGAGACGGGACACGGGACACACGAGGGGTCCTAGGACACCACAGGCACACAATCTGGTCAGGTTCCTCACGCGGTAACTCCGGGGGCGGGGTACCGACCAGAAACCACATGAGCTGCACAAACCCCTTAACTGCCCGGAGCAACGAACACTCGGTACATTAAAGGAACCGCTGGTTCGGCTGCTCCTCGGGATCCCGCTGCTCGTCCCTGATGACCATCCTCCCCCAGCAGGTGCCGGTGCAGGTGCAGAGGGGAGCGGGGAGAGGACAGGCGGGGGGCACCCAGCCTGTCACCCCACAGAGCTGGTTTAAGACGCTCCTGGAGGCCCGAGGACCTGGAGGAGGAGCCTGGCCCTCGGCCCCTTGTGACCCTCCCAGAACTACAGGAACCTCCAGCTACCACCAGCCACTGTGGTGCTGAGCAGGTGCTGGGGGACCGTCGGGGCCTCGCGTGGACAGACGGGGAACCACATACTCTTCACGCGCCAGAGCGTGCGCACGATCTGGGCGTCGAACAGCGGGGCCACGGCCATGATGATGACAGCCGCCAGCGCGGCCTTCGGGATGTAGTAGAAGGGAGCCGTCAGGTAGTCCAGCGACAGCAACACCAGGACTCCTGCGGGGCGGGGACACCGCTGACCGGGGCCCCGCCACCCGACGCCCACCGGCGAGCACGGAGCCGACTGCACCGCGATCTCCCCCCTCTCCCGCGTCACTGCCCCGGGCATCCGGGGCGCCTTGTGGGGGTGCTCACCTGTCAGCAGGCCCCCTGCTGGGGTACATGCCCCCGACTGGGCGTTCACGGCCGTCCTGGAAGGCAACACAGACCTGTGAGTGGCCATCAGAGCAGGGAGGTGTCGGTCAAAGAGGCAGCTGGTCTCCGGGGACAGGGGGACCAGAGCGGGACCACTGGGCATCCCCATGGCTTAGGAGGACAATGGCGCTTCAGGTGTGGCTGTGCCCTCAGAGGGCCTGTGGGGGCAGTGAGCACGTAAGAGAGGCCCTCGTCCACTCTGACGGCCCTTCTAAGGAGAGGAAACCAGGACACAGACACACCAGGATGGACACAGAGGGGCGACCATGTGGGGGACACAGCAAGAAGGCTCCGCCTGCCGGCCAAGGAGCGAGGCCTCCGGAGAAGCCGAAGCTGCCCTGCTCCCAGCTCCCGGCCCCCGGCCCCCAGTGAGGAAATGAGCGTCCGTGGTTGAAGCCGCTGATGGTGGCCCTTTGTTACGGCGGATCCGGCAAGTAACACCCCCGACGAGGGGTCCCGGGGGGCCCTTGGGAAGGATGCTGGGTGCTTGCCTTTACGGAAAGATGCTGATGGAGCTGTCACCTGAGGGGATCCCACTTAACCCACACATTCGTCACGTACGCGGACACACACACGCGTGTGTACATCTGCGTGAGCAGAACCGTCAGAGAGGACACCAAACCCCAGGGGGGCTCCTCCGGGGAGAGGCCTGGACGGGAATTCTGCCTCCTTCCCAACCTGGCCGTGGCCTGTTTGGAGAGCCGCACTCACCCAAATGCCAGGAGCTCTCTGCCGAGCCGGCCCTTGGCCACGAGGACCACAAGGGAACCGTGACGTGACCCCAACAACCCTACAAGCCCGCCTCATACGCGCCTCAACTACCCCAACCCCGACCTCGTGCCAACTGTCTTCCTCAAGGTAAAGCCCGTCTGCGCGTGTCCGTGGGAAGCCTTGTCACCGTTCGCACAGCCGGGGAAGCTGATCTGGGAGCTGGACAGGGCACTCTGGCCAGGGCCAGGACCCCCACCCCCCGAGTAACAGAGAACAGAAGGCTGGGACTCACCGTCCAAAGCTGCCGGTGACCGGGAAGGAAGAAAAGAGGGAGCCCAGGACGTTGGTGAGGCCTGGAAACAGAATGGGGCCGAGGTTTATCTGGGAGGGAAGGGGCACGAAACGGGGGAAAGCCAGATGGGAGGTGGCGGGGGGCAGGTAAACCAGAAGGAAACAGGAAGATAAGAGGCCCGAGGAACCCCAGGGGGACGTCCCATTCCTAGCGCTCGCTGGGAAAGACGAAGACACCAAGCTCCCCGAGGTGGGCGCTTGCCTTTCAGCCTGCGGGAGTTAAACCGCCTTCCTCCCGCTGGAGAGCGAGAGAGGGAGAGGGGGAGAGGGCCCCACCTCCCAGGGGGGAGGCGGGGAGCAAGGCGAGTGCTCACAGACGGGGCCCCAGTGGCTGCCATCCGCCCGACTCCACGTGGAGGGGCTGGTCACGGCTGGTCACTGCTGGTCACGGCTGGCGGCGCCGACTAACCCACGCTGGACAGACCCCACGCCTGGGCCTGGCGGGGACCTAAGACCCAAGCTCGCTGGCCCACATCTGGACCAGGGCTCCTTGTGCCCTGACACGCGGTATTCTCAGGAGAGGATCTGGTGTCGTTCGTAGAAACGCGAGGGAGATGCTCTGGAGCTTTTCCTGGCAGGCGCACGGGGAAGTCGCAGGCTTTCTCTGTCTGGGGTGAGCGACTCCCGGGCCACCCCGATTCCACCGACCAACTAGGCAAAACCCTGTTCACCGTGAGCTCAGAGAGCAGCACTGGCTCCACGCCCTTTGCTGGGGTCCCAACCGCTGCCATGAAGGTGTCCCGTGGAAGTGCCTGGTGGGCCCCCTTTGGAAGGAACCCAGCCGTGCCCCCCTTGTGAGGGGTAGGAAGGAAAGGCAGGAAGGCCTGGCACCCAAGAAATTAAAAGCAGTTGTGGTGACCGAATTTAAAATTCATGCCACAGTCTCAAAATGAACCACCACGGAGGCCAGAGGCATGAAAACAAAAGAAAACACAGTGTGACGCCTGGCACAGGCCCCTCCACAGCCAGGCAGCCCAGGGCCGCCGGAGGCTCCCCCACCCACCTGCCCAGCCTGGAGGTGGGATGCCCTCCAATCAGAAGCTCACGAGTGTCTGCCCGGCCACATTCTCCAGCAGCCTGAGCCCGAGGAGCACCGCCCTAGGCACTCCCTGGCATAAAACAGGCCGCAGGCCTCAGGGCCCGGGCTCAGCAGGCGCGCAGGGGGTTTCCATGAGCACAGGCACCAGGTGCCGGCTCCCTACTTGGAACAGATCCACCGAGCCTCGCGGGGGTCTGAGGACGGATCGATGCTAAAACTGCCACAGGGCCCCCCGGGCCACCTCTGCTCCCTGCTCCTCAGGGTGACCATCCCTACCATCGGCCCCGCCCAGGCCGCGTGAGAGCGAAACGGGGGTCTCACCGATGGACAGCAGCTCCTGGTTGGCGTCGATGCGGTAATTATTCTGAGACGCTAAAGAGAAGGGGCGATGAAAACGCAGCCACTGGATAAATGACCTCACTAGGAAAACGCCCATGAAATGAAAAAACAAGCTACAAGCTCCCCCCCGCGTGACTCAGTTTTGTGAACAAACGTGAAAACGCACGTAAGACCCACACATACACGCAGGTGTACGCGGGTTTGTCTGCGAGCATCAGGAGGCAAAAGCAGGCATCTTACCAAAGGACTTGGCCACGGCGATGCTCTCCAGGAGGCCCATGAGGGGCACCACGGCCAGCCCGGCCCCCATGTCCTGAGAGGGGAGAGAGGGGCAGTGGGTGACCCTTGGGGGAGGGAAGGACTCCTCGCGAACGTCCGTTCTGAAGGCTTCCCCCTCCCACGCCCAGAGTCGCACCAAATAACAGTTTGTAACGTGTCTGGCTCCCATCTTTCATTTTTCCGGTTACCTTTTTTGGGGG